ACTATTATGCTTGGGCAAGATCCATGAAAAGAGCCCTTCGAATCAAAAACAAGCTTGGCTTCATTGATGGAAGTTTGTCTGAACCCTTAGATCCTAATAGCCCATTGATGGAGTATTGGCTTCGAAGCAATGACGTAGTCATTGCTTGGCTACAGAATACCATAGCGATTGATGTAAAGTCCTGCACATCATATGCTGACACAGATAGAGAATTTTGGCTAGACTTAGAACACCAACTAGCTCAGCAAATTGCTCCACGGATTTATGAGGTTAAGTATGACATTGCCACTCTAATGCAAAATCAGGATACAGGAAGCACATACTTCTCAAAATACAAAACTCTCCTTGATGAATTGATGGACTATGAGTCAATTCCTAATTGTACGTGCGGGGCTGAAACCTGTTGTTGAGAATCAGCAAAGAGACTGGGTATTGAAATTTTTGATGGGCTTGAATGATTCTTACAAAGCAATCAAAACTCAAATTCTCTTGGTTAAGCCTTTTCCTACTCTCAATGAAGTGTACTCCTTAATTCAACAAGAAGAAAAGATGAGGCAAATTTCATCAGATCTCCCCACACCTGATTTGATGGCATTGGCTACTAGAGGAATGCTCAATGATGGAGTGAAGCATAATGGAATTACACAAATGAAATACTAATGTACCTTCTGCAAGATACCTGGACACTCAATAGAAAAATGCTTCAAGGCCAATCCCAACAAGCCGACTTGCAACCACTATCATATGCCATGACACTCTATGGACAAATGTTTCAAAATCCATGGATACCCTCCTGGACATAGGCTGCATAGAAAGGGAAACTTCTCAGCCAATCAGGTATCCTTGCAGGGACGGGAAAGTGTTGAAAGTAGTAATCAAGTGATATTCACTTAAGAGCAGTAAGCACAACTTCTAGCTTTACTCAAGTCTCAAAATATTCAATGCATCACTGCCTCGACAGACACATAAATCCCAAAACACTCTGGTATATCTCATTATCTCTGTGCATGTAACAACAGAACTAGGAAAAATCATGATGCACCGTGGATAATAGATACGGGAGCAACATACCACATGGTCTGCTACACTTCCTTCTTCAGTTCCATCCAAGCCAAAGTAAACTATTTAGTGCTCCTTCCAAATGGTGATTTGGTTAACGTCACACATATAGGGACTGTACAAATCACTCTATTTCACTTTCTTCTTTACAAGAAAATTAAATTCTTGAGAATCTGACATCAATTTCCCGGATGCTGACGTCATTTAGGAAGTTTTAGCAAGAAAGATGTCGATTGATATGGATATGGTGATGGCAGGAAGGGAGAAGGCGCGACCGGATGTCCATGTCGTCTTCTTTGACGAAGAAAAACATATGAATTTTGGAAACGTCATAGTAAGCTCAGAAATGGAATTCATGCAATTCAAGTCAAACGTCACTACATCAAAAATGAACATTTGCAACACTAAAAAAACAACACTTACTAATAAAATGTTGCTAAAGGGATCTATCGCAATATTTTAATAAGTGAATGTTGTCGTTGGTCAATATAAATAAGCTTTTACAATGTTTTTTAGAAGAATTTTGCGATAGACCATTTTTTGCAACGTTCATCAAATGTTGCGAAAAGTCCACTTTTGCAACGTTTATTCAACGTTGCGAAATGTCTCACTTTTTGCAACATTTATTGAACGTTGCGAAAAGTCACTTTCTGCAATGTTAGACAAACGTTGGGAAAACTTTTGTACGTTTTAAAATTATACACGGGCTGATAGAAACCTAAACCCTAAGTTTATTCACTACTATAGTGAGTTCTCTCAAGTTAAGTGCAATTTCTAACCCTTCATTTTGCCCAT